AGGTGACAGCCACCTGAACACCCAGGTGACCCTGGTGAGGAGTCAGGGATCAGAGCCAGACACCAGAAGGGCTGGGGAAGGGAGACACTTGTCACACCCCTCAACTTTAGAAAGTAGCTGACCTCCCGTTACAGCTGAGGGGCTGTTCCATGAGCTAGGGATAAGATAAAGCTTCACCAATTTCATGCTGTTACTACCCCTGCTTCTTGAATCCAACTCTCCCCTCCACATCTGCATGATCACAGCCCACGATCAGTCTCCCCCACATCCCTAATTTTCCCTCAGTGGTCACACTTGCAGCCCACCCCCCACATTCCCCCAGATTGACACACCCCTGGGACCTAACAGCTCTTTCTCCCCCTACCCCCACCCCATCTACCTGGGGAGTCACATCCTCACCCATCCTCTGCTCAATCACATTCCTAGCCCAGTCCAGCTGAATACCAGGCCCCCAAACTCAACAGAGTGTGGTTCAGCCTCCCCCCTCCCAGGGCCAGGGTAGTGATAAGAACATAAGAACAGCCAGACTGGGTCAGACCAAAGGTCCATCAAGCCCAGTATCCGGTCTACCGACAATGGCAAATGGCAGGTGCCCCAGAGGGAATGAAGAGAACAGGGAATCGCCCAGTGATCCGTCCGTCGCCCATTCCCAGCTTCTGGCAAACAGAGGCTAGGGACACCGTCCCTGCCCATCCTGGCTAATACGTCCCTCAATGGCTATCTTCCATGAATCTATCTAGCTCCCTTTTGAACGCCGTTGTAGTCTTGGCCTTCACAACACCCTCCTGCAAGGAGTTCCACAGGTTGACTGTGCGTTGTGTGACAAAATACTTTCTTGTGTTTGTTTTAAACCTGCTGCCTGTTCATTTCATTGCGTGGTCCCTCGTTCTTGTGTTACGAGGAGGAGTAAATACCACGTCCTTACTCACTCGCGATTTTACAGACCTCTGTCACGTCCCCCCTTAGTCGCCTCTTTTCCAAGTTGAAAAGTCCCCGTCTTATTAATCTCTCCTCACGCGGCAGCTGTTCCCCGCCCCCGGCACCTGGCGAATCGCCCCCCCCCCGCGGTACCTGGTTGGTCACGTCCCCGGGCAGCCCCCGGATCAGGACCTTGCGGCGGTTGCGGAACTGGTGCGAGCTCCGCTCCAGGCGGCTCCGCACCTCGGCCGGGTCCAGCGAGGGCAGCTCCTCTTCGGGGACGCGGGCCGGGCCAGGCCCCGGCTCCAGCCCGGGGGGCTCCGGGCTGGGGACCGACGCGGCGCCTGACACGGACACCACCGCCATCTTGGGAGCCCTCCGCCTCCTGAGACCATAGAGCGGGAGACGGTCAGAAAGGAGCGGCGCCAATATCCCGCCTCCCGATTGGGCCATCGTAACCCCGCCCATCCACCCGCATCCTGCCCGCCCACAGGCCCAATATCCCGTCTGCGCATTGGCTAGCGACACAACCCGCCCACTAGCATCCGCGCTTCCCATTGGTCGAGAGAGCCCACCCGCACTAGCATCGGGCCGATTGATTGGCTAGGATAGGAAGAGCCTTCAGTCGCTGCAGCTGCCATCCGCCCCGCCCCCCCGCCCCGCCGGCCCCCCAGTGACCTCGTCCCCCATTGCGTCACTAAGCCCCCCCCCGCACGACTCGAGTACCGCACGTCCACCCCCCCTCCCTCTCCCCCTCCCCCCCAGCCAGCTCCCCCTCCGTCTTCCGCCTCCCCCCACAGCCAGCCCCCCTCCCTCTTCCCCCCACAGCCAGCCCCCCTTCTGCCCTCCCTCTTCTCCCCCCCCCACAGCCAGCCCCCCTCCCTCTTCTCCCCCCCCTCCCACAGCCAGCCCCCCTCCCTCTTCCCCCCACAGCCAGCCCCTCTTCTGCCCTCCCTCTTCTCCCCCTCCTCCCACAGCCAGCCCCCCTCCCTCTCCCCCCTCCCACAGCCAGCCCCCCTTCTGCCCTCCCTCTTCTCCCCCTCCCACAGCCAGCCCCCCTCCCTCTTCCCCCCACAGCCAGCCCCCCTTCTGCCCTCCCTCTTCTCCCCCCCTCCCACAGCCAGCCCCCCTCCCTCTTCCCCCCACAGCCAGCCCCCCTTCTGCCCTCCCTCTTCTCCCCCCCCCCGGGCTGACGCCAGGGGCCTTCCACTGAGCTAAACGCAACTGGAGGCTGCAACGGCTGCAACCCGCAGACTGTTCAAAAGCCCGGCAACCCCCAACTCAGAAACCTGTGAGAGCCACCCCCACCCCAAACCCCCCAAGTCTACCAGAGACAGACAAAAACCAGGACCCTTTAACGAGGGGCAGTCAGACCCCAGCACGGAGAGCCCAGGCACCAACCGGCGCATGGAGCATCAAAGCTTAGGGAGGCCCAGAATGAACTTGAAGAGCAACAAGCCAAGGGCACAAAAACTAACAGGAAATAAAGTGAAGCATCCCAGGAGCCTGCCAAGAAGGAAGTGAGGGCAGGAGCTGATGGCCGAGCTAAAGGAGCACATAATAGAGATAAGGCAGGTGTGGAAAAGCTAAGTGAATTCTTTGCATTGGTCTTCACCCCAGAGGACATGGGGGAAATCCCCACGCCTGGGCTGTTCTTTTTCGGTGTCAAATCTGAGGAACTGGCCCAGGTTGAGTATCATTAGAGGCGGTTTTGGAATAAACTGATAAATTAAACAGTAATAAGTCAGCAGGACCAGAGTGTATTCATCCAAGAATGCAGAAAGAACTTGTATGAAATTGCAGAGCTGCTAACTGTGGTCTGTAACCCATCACTTAAAGCAGCAGCTGACATTACCGATCTGAGTCATTTTAAAATCGATCAGGAACAAAAAGAATCTTGACCATGATATTGGTCTATTACTAGACAGAAATTGTAGAATTTTCAATAATAATTCAGAAAAGGCAGAAGTGTTCAATATTTCTATTCTGTCGTTGGAGAAAAATAATTAGAAAGTCATCATATGGTGGTAGCTCTTCCCTGTCTACTGGTACCTGTGGAGAATATTAAAGACAAGCTACTGCAGGCAGACATTTTTAAACCATCAGGTCCAAAGAACTTGCACCTACAAGTTTTAAAACTGCTGGCTGAGTAGTTCAGTGGAATGTCCGTGTTGATATCTAGTTAAGTCTGGGAGCACTGAAGAAGTTCCAGAAAACTGGAAGAAAGCAAGTGGTGTGCTGGTTTTTAGAAAAGGTAAATAGGGTGACCTGAGTAATTATAGGCCTTCAGCCAGACATCACTCTCAAGCAAGATAATAGAGTGGCTGATATGACACCTCATTAATATAGAATTAAAGGAGGGCAACAATTAACATCAACCAACATGAGCTTATGAAAAATAGATCCTGTCAGACTAATGTGATATCTTTTTCTTGATGAGATTGTAAGTGTGATTGATAAAGGTAACAGTATTGATGCAATATACTTACACGTCTGTAGACTCAGTACCACACATTTTGATTAAACTAGAACATAAAATTAACATGGCACACATTAAAGGCATTAAAAATTGGCTGATAGTTTTTTTTTTGGAGACCTAACTATAAATGGTGACTCATCATCAAGCAGTTTTTAGGGGGATCTTTTTTTAAAAATCAAGGACCTGGAAGAAAATAAAATCACTGATAAAGTTTACAGATGAGACACACCTTGGGGGAGTGGTAAATCAAATTAAGAGGACCAGTCACTGATTCAGAGCACTCTGGATTGGTTTGTAAATTGGTTAAGCAAACAATGAGTATTAAGACAGCTATATGTGAATGTATACATCTAGAAACAAAAAATGTAGTCCATACTTACAGGATGGAGGGCTATCTTGGGAAGCAGTGACTCTGAATAGGATTTAGGGGTCATGGTGGAGTTAGGTCCCAGTGCAATATTGTGGCCAAAAGAGCTAATGCGATCCTGGACACAAACAGGGGAATGGTGAGTAGGAATAGAGAAGCTATTTTACATCTGTGTTGGACACTGGTACAACTGTTGCTGGAATATTGTGTCAGGGGTGGATGCCCACAATTCAAAGATGTTGATAAATCAGAGAAGAGCCACGAGAACGATTAAAGGGGTTAGAAAACCTGCCTTTGAGTGAGAAGATAAATAGGTTTAGCTCTTCGTATTTAACAAAGAAAAGGCTAAGGGGTGACTTGATTACAGTGTGCAAGTATCTACATGGGGAAAAAACATTTAAGAATGGGCTCTTCGTTTTTGTAGAGAAAGGTCTAACATGATCCAATGGCTGGAAGTCGAAGCTAGACACATTCAGATTAGAAGTAATGCTTACTTTTTAATGGTGAGTAATTAACCATTGGAACACTTTACTGGGGTCATGGTAGATTCTCCACTACTGAATTTTTAAAATCAAGATGAGATGTTATTCTAAGAGAGCTGCTCTAGGAATTATTTGGGGGAAGATCTCGGGCCTGTGTTATACAGGAGGTCAGACTAGATGATCACAATGGTTGCTTCCAGCTTTGGAATCTATGAATTTCCTGTCAACCTGCTTCCTTCCACCCCGGACAGGTTCTGTGGGGTTAAGGACCCTTGCAAAAGACATTCCTGAGAGGCTTGAGCTGCTCTTAGTTGGTGAGGCAGCACGGAGCGTTTATAGGGATGTATGGGCCTTACAACACCAGTTTGCCATCAGATTACTTCTCTAGCCACTGAAAGTTGCAAAGAAAGCGAGACTCACACTAGTGCTCAGAGCTTCTTGCAGGGGCTGCCTAAATGTTCTGCTTTATTCTGCTCTGTGCGATGCAGGACACAGCAGGACGTGCTGCGTGGCACTCCGCGCTAAGAGGGGATGCAGTGAAACAGCAGCCCTGGATTTGTATCACCCTAAAAAGACTGTCCCTTCATTTTGTTCCTGCACAGCACATAGCACAAAGGGACCCAGATCCATAGTTAGGGACTACAAATGTTAAACAACACCAGCAAGAGCCTGCCCTCCTTCTGCAATCTGTTCTGGAAGCAGATCCATCAGAGGAGCCCGGGCACGCAGAGCAGCAGCAAAAAAGAGACCGTACTTTACAGAGTAATTTATTTGAAGAAAAGTTCAGGGATGTTACCAGCTACAGGTTACACTAGCCAGTAGTAGATTAGCACTGAGACCAGTGACGTTCACATTAGATAATCATCTCCCGCTGTCCAATAGAAAAAAGGTCTCTACACACAGGTGCTTTGGCCAGAAGCAAGGAAGCTGCAGCTTGTTCAATCACCCATGCTTCCCTGGTGAGAGAGGGAGTCATAGCTCCAACACAACGGCAAGACGCAAGGCACATTGCTGCAGGCTGTTTTTGCGTAAAGGTTGACACGCAGACCATGGTGCAGGATGGACCCATGAGGCAGGCAGCATTGCTCCATACTCCAGGCACATGGCTCACTGCAGAGGTTATTTCAATGGCGTTTACATAGCGGACAACAATAAATAAGGGGTGGGGAAATCAACCATTATACAGTTTAACAGCATCATTTTAGGAATAAGTCCAAGGCCTCCCTCTAGAAAGAATGACCTTTGCTAACTCAGGCAAAATGACCCTCCATCCTTTACAAAAACATTGCACTTTTTATACACACAAGTCTCTTCCCAAGCCTTTTATTTACTTTGAACCAAACCAACAAACTGGTTGCATTAGAAGATTCCTCACTAATTGTCCAGGCCAGGAGATAACGAGCCTTTGGAGACAGAGAGACTGGTCAGGGAAGAGCTGTGTATGTGGAAATACAGTGGCAAGATACAAAGGCAAGACTAGAGGTATGTTACAAATACTAAAGGAAGATTTTCTCATGTAGCAGCCTCCGAGAAGAGGAGGAGAGGTCAGGTGACCACAGCTGTCCAATGCAGTGGCTGGCCAGTGGTGTCCAATCTGTAGCCCTCAAGGGTCACTAAGTTAAGAAAATGCATCTTTGATTATGAAATCGGAAGTGCATTCCCTGACCGTGTCTTGTGATTTTTAAACTGAAGCATTGGCCCCATTACAATGGGAGACTGTGGGAGCCGCTCTGACATACAGCCACGTGCCCTTGGAGCTGCTGAGGGAGGGAGGGAAGGAAGTGGGAGCAGCTCTGGCTGCTCCAATGCCAGAGCCCTTCCTGGACTGCAAACACCTCAGGGCCAGTGGGATTGGCGCTTGAGTGACTATTTCCCTTGGTGCAGGCACCATATTGACTTTGGCTCCTTGACCTCATTGAAATCTGTTCGGCTCTGAGGCTGGGCACCAGGCCCTATCACCTGCTCTCGAGCCTGTGGCTACAAGAGATTGAGGGATAGGGGACTCCAGAAATCACATTTGAAAGACCAACCAACTGAGACACCCAACTGCTAACATTTCTTTAGTAATAAAGTGCCACAAATGTTCACTTGCTCAAAGCTGGTGATCATCCCTGGAGGAGAGAGAACCAACAGACCCCAAATGTTCTGCAGAGTCAGATGGGCTGGGTATAGCCCACACCCATTTCCTTAGGAAAATACATTCCAGGCATTTAGGTGAGAGAGTGAGCAACTAACACTAAAGGCTACATGCATGCTGGTTGAGTGGATGTTGGCAGTGCATGGAGCTAAGGCCTTGTTCATTCAAGGCTTGAGCCGTCCCTCCACTGGGTTTTGCAACATAACCGAAGATGGCATCGCAGCAGTCTCTGCAGCGCATGGAGAATGAATCTCAGACATCAAGACGAGCACACACGCGACCCCAGCAGTCCCTGTTGTTCAAGAAGGCATTCGACTGGATGGTGTTTGCCCTGCTTCTCTAGACACAGCCCCACAACCAGGGCGTACTGGCTTTTTCAGGACCAGTTCGGCTAACGCTGGCGTTAGGTAGCCAGAGGACAGGACGGGGCTGTGATTTGGTGGGCAGATAAAGGCAGTTCGTGTCTTGTGATCTGAATTTGGTTTAAGGCCAGCAGACTCCAGCCCCCTCCCCGACCACATGATCTAATTCACAGTGCTTGGCCCCTGGGAGAGGCGGGAAAAACCTTTGGTTGGCATGTGGACAGCGGCAGCCGAGCGAATGGCCTTGGTACGTCCCTTTGGAGCACGCAGCCCTGGGGGGCACAGGAGGGCGTCGCTCACCAAGGCGTTCGAGAGACATGGACGGACAGGCTGGGACAGCTGCTGCCTGTTCAGGGAGGTTTCCCCGTGAATGGGGGTAGTGGCCAAGATGTGGACCCCAAGCAGCCCTTACGGGGGGCACAGGAGCTCCCCTCATTGCTCGCTGGGTGGCAGCCAAGGCTGCAGGAGTGCATCAAAGGGCTACCCCGGAGCAAAGAAAGGCCTCTGACTGAAGGGCCAGCAGAGGCCATGGTCAGCTGCTGTACAGCAAGAGGGGACAGCCCTGGAGAAAGCCAGGCCCCGCAGGCAATGCGGAGAGGGCAGCCCCCGTCAGTCTGCCTGCACCTGCCCCCGGGGTCTTTCGATGGGGGAACGTCTCTCCGCCCAAGGAGAGATGGGAGCAGAGGGGGGCACAGGCAGCTGCACAGGGGGTTACAGGCCAGGGGGCAGAGCACCTCTGCCAGGGCTCAGGGGTTGCCGGAGGAAGCAGGCACTGTGGTGCTTTATGGTACAAACCAGGCAAGAGCCCAAGCAGCTGGGGGATGGGCCAGAGGTTTCCCCAGCTCAAAGACCAAAGCATCAGTGAAGAGCGGGCAGGGCACAGGCCCGTTCCCAAGCTGCAAACGCACCACAGAGCAGGGCAGGCTGGGAGCCCGTCCGGCTGGAGGAGGGAGCAGGCACAGGCCCAGTGTATCTTTTTTAACGATGCTTCAAGCCCTCACTCGGCAGCCATCTTAACCATACACCCTCCTCCTCCCCTTGCACCAGATGCGGCATTACAGGGCTAAACTCAGGCCTGTACCCACCCCTCAAGCTCCAGCCTCTTCCCCCACAGCTCCCTGCAACGGCTTCAGGAGCTCCTGACAGCGGCCTGGGGTGCGGCGCATTAGGCTCCAAGGAGGCTTTTGCACACGTCCGCCCCTTTCAAGACACGCAATGCTCTGGCTGCACAGCTCCAACACCAGCCAAGAGGTTGGATGAGATGCGCCAGGAAGGCAGTTTGCCCTTTTTGCTAGACAGCCCCACAGCTTCCTCTGGCTGCACTGCCTAGAAGGAAACCACTTTCCGGGATTAAAATCCACCTGACTGGAGAGCCTACGCATCCAGGCCAAAGCAGCAGGTCCGTACTTCAGAAGTGGCAACAGAAGCTTCACCAGCCATCTCTGTTTACACAGGGTTCCCGGGACTCCAAGGCACAAGGTGGAAAACCGGATCGCGTAGGACGGTTCCATGCAGCAGCAAGCACCGAGGCAGCAAGTGGTGAAGTCCCAACCCTCCCCAGCACTTTGAAGTGGCCTTTCCATCTGAGGGATTCCAGCTGAAGGCAGCCGTGGTCCTTCCCCGAGCAAGTTCAAGCATCCCACTCAGCACACGCTGAAGACCGAAGGAGCCTGAGCCTTGTATTTCTCGTGGAAGCTCTTCAGGATGGGGACGAGGTTTTTGAACGCTGGGCGGAAGGATGCTTTGGATTCCCAGCAGTTTCTCATTAAGCAGTAGATCTGAGGAAGGAAAGAGCAGGTGAAGGCGGGTGGAGCACATCTCAAACCCACGTCGCAACGCAGCCGCCCCCACCCCGAGCCGGAAGGCAGTTGGGAACAGGCCTGTGAGCAGGCAGCCGTGGAACGGCCCTCTGGCCGACATGCACCTTCCCCTGCTCCAAAGCCTGTCAAAACCAAACCCAAGTAACAGAAGCCACCACTGCTCCCTTACTGCGCTAGCTGAGGGTTCTCTCTGCCTGTGGCCATGGGCGTTGGAGGACAGAGCCCCTGCCGAGGGCAGGGCAGGGCGGCTGGCGGGCGAGACTTCAAGCTTGCCCAGTCTGAGTGGAATCCCAGGGAGAGCTCTCGCTGGACTTCAGCAAGGGCTGGATTTCACCCTGCATTCTTTTAGCAGCATGTAGGAGAAAGGCCAGCCTACTGCTTCCATTCCTAATCAGAGTGGAAGCAATTAATCCTTAGCCAGGCCCTCTGGAGGCAAAGCCCCCGTTGGGCAGGCAGAGAGACTGCCTCAGTATGTCAGTCTGTGACATACCAAGTATTTCCGCGTATCGAGGGCCTGCCCGAGCCCAGCACCTGTACAGTTGTGGTGCTCTCCCTGGCGTCACGGGGGAAAGGGAGTCAGTTCTGCTTCCCTGCGTCCCCCTGCCGCGTCAGTGGATTCTTCACTTCCTGTCCTAGGCTGCTGAGCAGCGGGAAGTAGCCCTCAGGTCCCACATGAGAGGTGGCTGCATTCCAGGGGCTGAAGAAGCGATCCCTGTACAGTCTGTGAAGCACTCGGGGTTCCGCTGGGATGGAATGGGCTGTAGCACCGCGTGAAGTTATTAACAAGCGCCACTCAGCGCTGACTACATCGCAACAGCCTCACCTCACAAGGACAGTCCTTCGGGCTTGGGAGCCTCTTCCCCCTGTCCAGCAGCTCGATCAGCCTCAGCACTGTCATCTGACCCTGAGTCGCTCCGATCATCTCAATGAATTTCTAAGAGGGAGGGAGAACAAAGCTGGTTGGTGGGGGTGGGTCCTGCTGGTTACTTGTTCAGCAAACTGAACCCCAGGAGCAGGAAACCCCCCCATCAGTCCCTCTCCACTCACCACCGGGGGGCTCTGGCTGGAGTCACAGCGTGTCAGGAGCTCGTAGAGAGTGACCCCGAAGGACCAGACATCGGAGGCGTAATAGAACTTGCACTCCTTCAGGCACTCCATGGCGTACCTGCGGGGTGGGGCAGGGGAGACAGGCACCATCAAGCTATAGCTGCAACCATAGGGCATCAGCACAAGGGACCCACAGCCAGAGCGTGGCAAGAATCCCTCCAAACGGCACTTGAGCTCCAAGGGGCTCACAACAGAGAGTCCCAGGCCAGACCCTGCACGGACAGCAGTTTCCCATTCCTCAGGGCCTCCTAGGCACATCTCTGGCATGGCAGAGAGCGGACAGAAGGAAGCTGTCATGTTCTGACGCAGTCTCTGGGCAGACTTGCTCTGGCAGTCGCCGAAGACACTGGTTACCCAGTCATCGTCCTTGCCACGGCTGCGCTTCAGACCAACCCTCAGAGCACACAGCCTGGGGTGTTCCCGCGTGCACTGAGCCTGCAGGTTGCGTTTCCACCACAGCTCACACGTGGCATGTACAATGGAGTGTACAGGCACGTACTTGTGTGTGGCTCACAAAGACTACAGGTCCCAGCATGCAATGCTCCAACCCGAGCTGTGCTGGGACCTATATTTTCATCAGGCCAACCCTCTCTATTTACAAGAGGCGGCCAGCTAGTCAGCTCCACACAATGCAGATTCACCAGGGCATTGGGATGGCTAGCAAGCTACCGGCATTGCCCTCAGAGGGAAAAGATGGGGACCCCTGGGAGGGCTCTCTTGGGACACCACAACACTTACCAGAAGACGGGGCTGTCTCCGTCCTCGCAGACGCGGTAATATTCGTGCCCTTCGGGGATGGCTTTGGCCAGTCCAAAATCACCGATCTTCACCACGTTCTCATTCTCCAGCAGCACGTTCCTGGCAGCCAAGTCCCTGTGGATGTAGTGCAGGGAGTGCAGGTAAGCCATGCCCTGTGGAGAGCAAACACCGGATTATCCCCATTCTGCAGCCAGGAACATGAAGCATCCAGAGAGATGGGGACTGGCCCAAGGTCACATGGAGAGTCTGTGACAGAATTGAGGAAAGGACCCAGGAGTCCCAACGCCCAGATTCCCCCCTGCTCTAGCCACTAGACCCCATTCCCCTCCCACAGCTGGCAGCAGAACCCCAGGAGTCCCAGCACTCAGACCCCTTACTCTAGCCACTGGACCCCACTCCTTCCCCTGGACATTGCACTGCACAATCATTGGTTTCCCCAGCCCCCACCCCAGCTCTGGAGCAGCAGACACACAATGTAGCCCCTTCTCGCCTGGGCAGGGGCAGCATCAGCACAGTCCCCCACGCGCTGCCTGGCTTGGGCCCTGTCGTTACCTCACAGATTTGCTGGGCAAAGAGGAGGATGTGGGCCAGGCTGACGTTGTGTTTGGGCAGGTAATCCCGCAGGCTGCCCAGGGGCACGTACTCCATGATGAGCTGCACGATCTTCTCCCCTGGAAGAGGAGCCAGATGTGAGCGATGCACTCGGCGGGATGGGCTGCGGCAGGCAGCAGAGCAGAGAGGCACGTCCGAGGGGGACGCAGCCATGGCCCGAATCCCCACCACTGTCCTACCAGAGGCTAAGCCCCCTCCTGCAATGCTGCAGCTTCACGCCTTACGTCCCACGCTCCTGGAGAGTGACCCCTGGGCAGCTGGGCAGCCTCTGCAGGGAGTGCCTAGGGCTCCCTTCTGCCAGCTGACTGAGAGGTGCAACTGTTCTGCTCTGGCCTGGGGATTCGCACTCGAGACGTAACCTCTCTGGCACCAAGCCACAGCCTCGGGGGGCACATGCATAGTTAACCCTGCCTTGGGGGAAGCATAGGAGCCCCACAGCACACTCAGCCTACAGAGGGAGGGGTATCCATAGAGCACGTGCCCTGGGCTGTTAGGGAGGGAGCCATGTACAGCGCAGCACACACAGGACTAGGGGAGACAACGCTCTGCTGCGATCCTCCCCCAGGAGCCCCACTCCGCAGGGGAGGCTGGGCTGTACCTTGCTCGCTGCAGCAGCCCTTGTACTTGACAATGTTCTCGTGGTAGAGTGTCTTGAGGATCTCAATCTCCCTCTTCCAGCTGGTGAGAAGCTGCTGGCTGCAGCCAGACTTCAGCGACTTCACGGCCACCATCTCCCCGGTGCCGTCGTTGGTGGGGTCATAGCAGTACAGGCTCACTTTGCCGAAGTGACCCTGGGAGAGACAGAAACGGGGCTTTGAGATCCCGCCATGGAGCAGGGCTCCAGCTGTCTGATGCGGGGAGAGGCCCCAGTGGGACGCACTAGCTGGGGCAGAAAAGCTCCTCAGACAGAAAGGTCTCCAGTGGAAATGTCCTCTGCCAGAAGCCAGCTCAAGGACTGCTCGTGGCAGGTTGGGAGCAGTGCCCACAGAGCACTGCTAGACAGGGATGGGTGGAGGCCCCCCGCTGGAAACGAACAGTAACAGCCAGGGAATCCCAGCTTCCCAGGGGCAGGGCCGCACAGAGCAGACCTAAAAACACAGGCCGGAGCAGACGAGAGGCTCATCTGTCCAAGCACTCTCAGCCAGCAGTCACGCCCTAACCTGCCGGTAGAGCAAGCATCCTCCTGCTGCAGGGCCTCAGCCAGCGGCTTTGCTCTCACTTCCCTGACATACAGCCTATCCTCGCTAAAGTGACGGGGCGAAAATCCTGGATCCTTTTGTGGAACCCGCCAAGCTCTCGGGAAACGCAGCCACTTCTACCTCCCTCTGTCGGTGCAACAACATGGTGCCACTGAACCAGGGCCAAGGGTTACTCTGGATGCAATTTACCTCCCCCAGTTCTCGGATCTTCTTCAGGTAGCGTTTCTGAAAGACCGTGGGGTCCGAGACAGGAAAGTCAGGGCTCACAGAGGTGATATCAACGAGGTCTGGAACACAAGGAGAAGAGCCATGTGGCTGACAGGACTGGCACAAGCCACACAACACCAGTGCGACACTTCGCTCAGTGACGACCTCCTCCGGCCAGCCGAGGAGCAGCAAAGGGAGCTCCCTCATGGCCAGAAGGATGCGGGGCACCAGGTGTGAGGCATGGGCTAGGCTGAGGGTAGCTGCACGTGCCTGGCTAGGCTCCAGGGGTGGCAGGTTTGTTTTGCCTGGGTCCTCCCTTCTACTGAGGGCCAGGAGGGAGAGTCACGTATTGACGCACAGCAGATGCCAGCAGAGCTGCAATCCCTGCTGAGGGCCCCTCACCCTCCCTGCCTGGCCTGAAACAGAGCAGAGCAGCCATCCAGGAGTCAGGAAGTCTCCCTCAGTCTGTTTCCAGTCCCCGCATGGCAGGGGGGCAGGAGGGCTTACTGTGAGGCTGCAGCTGAGTGAGGTCCCGCAGGATGGTCCGGAAAGAGGGCCGCTCGCTGGGGGCGTATGTCAGACACTGGCTGATCAAGGCGGCCAGCTCCTTGCAGGATGGCTCGGGCAGGCGGTGTTTCTTCTCATAGAAGCGCTCTTTCTACGGGGAAAGGAGGGTCCCACTGAGCTCTCCCAGGGCTGAGCAAGCCGCACCCCAGCTGTGGCAAGCCACACAGCTCCCCCCCCCCAATGCACACGGCCCCCACTCCTGCTGTCTCTCAAGACACTCGGTGAATGTTTCCTCTGCAGCCCCCCGGGGCCCAGAGGAGCACTGGCCTGCCACAGAACAGACCAGCCTCTTCCCAGTGGGGTTTAGAGCCCCAGATATTCACCCCACTCCACATGTCCCATTCCCACTGCCACGCCAGCCTCAGAAGAGATGCTAGCCTAGAGTCTGAGCGTTTCCAGCCGCTACAGCTACCCTTGTCACTAGCTGGAGGGCAGCTCGTGAGCATAGCTGAGGTTATGGGACAGGTGCGTTCCAGGCTGGGGGGTACAGGCGTTACCTCGGAGGGGGTGCGCTCCTTCAGTGGGACGTCCGCATCAAAGCAGATCTCCAGCAGGGTGGTGCCGAAGCTCCACTTGTCGGCCGCGGTGCTGAGGCTGCTGACATCCTGGACGCACTCGGGGGCGATCCAGGGGATCCGGTCCACTCGCTCTTTGGGGAAGAGGCAAGAGGGGTTCATAGCTGCTGCAGGGACACTGCCTGAGCGACCATGCACACCACTAAGAACTCGGGTTTGGGGAGAGCCCCTTGCAGCGGGACCTCAGAAATGGGGCAGAGGCAGAGGCTGGGAATTTCAGAGACGCCAAAGGAGTGGGCCCCGGTCACATTTCAAGGGCAGTTTCAAGCCCAGTCACATGTGCAGCTCTGGCAGGAAGGGCTGCCGAGTCCCCAGCCCTGCTTGGGGGAGCAGGAGGGTCCGGGCTCCTGGCTAGGAGAGGACAAAGCAAACACCGACCAAACAGAAGTCCCACGAGCAGGGCTTGGTGGCCGGAGTCACCCACGGGCGTGTAACCCACACCACCGTGTGCGCCAATCCTGTCACATCTCACAAAGGCGAGCCGGGCTGTAGGCAGAGGGCGAGCCCCTCAGAGACAGGGGTAGGGGACAGGAAATGGAATGGGTGGCTCAGTAGGAGGCGCTCTCCCCCCAGCGTCATTGCTCACCCCAGTGTGGCTGGGGGGCCTGCACTGCAGGGAGTGGGGCTCAGATCTCAGGACTCCAGCATGGTGCTCAGGGGATGGTGGAGATACAACATCCTGGTCACAGCCAATCCCACACCTCTTTTGGCCCCAGGGCCCTGGCCAAATTCTAGCATAGATGATTACGTGCTGCATCCAATTCTCCTGACTGTTTCTACTGAAAACTATCCCTCCACTTCCTGTCCTCAGCTGGTACGTAGCGTTGCTGTGCGCTGTTCCAACAGCTGTGACAGCAGACCCCAGAGGTGGCTGCACATCGGGGCAGATGCAGCGAATCCTTGAGTAGCTTCGCAACTGATCGAGGACCCCCTGGGTGGGAAGGTGCCGGAGAAAGGCCTTTTGTTTGCTTATGGGATCCATGCCGGAGCGGGCGACTCACGCAGCTCCGCTCAGGGTCAGAAAGGAGCACATGAGCCAAGCCTGGCTAGTGCTCCCAATGAAACCTGGGATGATTGCACTCAGCCCAGCTGATGCATAATTCACAGGAATCCCCGCTGCAGAGCCTGGCAAGAAAGCACAGGCTGCCACGGGGAGGTGACCGCTCTCTGAACTAGGAACTAGTGAGGGAACTAGGCAGGAGGAGAAGGTACCTTCTCGGGAGAGAACTGTGAAGCTGACCCCAGGGTCGCTGAGCTTCACGAAAGGCAGCAACCCGTCCTCCAACCCCTTCCTGGCCAGCAGGATGTTCTTGGCACACACATTGCCATGCACCAGGTTTTTGTCCTCCTTTAAAAATAAAACAGGAAACAGTGAGAGCTGAGGAGCCCCGACCCTTTAGGTACTCCCAGGTGCTCCACAGGGTCTGAAGACCAGGCTGGGAAGGTGGCCCCAAGCCAGGAGCAAGGCACCAAACTCCTGGGTCCTCGCCACAGCTCCGGCACGCAGGCACTCGCTTCCTGCCTCTGTCCCCCTCTGCGAAACAGGCGTGGGGGCAGAACAGGAGCAGGCCGAACCGGCCTTTGTGCAGCTCTGCACAGGGCTACGTCCCGCCACCCACAGCCTTTCCAAGCGGCTGCCAAGCGTGGGAGCACTCCTCAGCCGCTGGCCACACTCCTAGCAAGGAAGGGAGGCAGCAGCAGTCCACTCCCGGCTCTCTCCAGCCTCCAGGCCTCACTCGGACCAGGGAGCGCGGTTCACGTGTAACCAGAGGAGTCACGAGGTTTCAGACCGAGCGGTGCACCTTGGCGACGGGGCTGGGCCAGGCCTCGGTTCAAGCCCCAGCTCTGCCAGCGTCCCGCTGGGCAACCTCGGGTGAGTCGCTCCTCTGCTTGGTGCTTCCCAGGGGTAGGGAGGTGCTGGGACACTGCAGCAAGGGAGAGGGTTTGAGGACCTACCCAGATCTATCTGCATTGCTGAAGTGGACACCCAGCTGCATGCTGGCAGATGGTGCTCCCCGGGGACTGGAGCAGGGGCAAAAGGTGCCTAAAGAAGCCCGGGGCTCTCCAGAGCAGCCTCACACGAACGCACCAGGGCACGCCCCAGGGAAAGAGCCCAGTTCCAAAGCACAGCTTCTCACCAAGTAGCTCAGGGCGCTGGCGAGCTGCTTCGCGACAGTGACCTTCCAGCCGACGGTCACCCGGCCTTTCTCCTTCCGCAGCAAGACATCCAGGGGGCCGTGCTCGACGTACTCCTCCACCATGATATCTGAGAGGCAGAAGAGGCCGTTCCTTACCAGCCCAGCTCTTTGGCACTGGAGGGCAAGGCAGGGCCGCAGGCTGAGGCCCAGCTGAGGACACTCAGGGCAGACGTGCTGGCAAGTTGCACCCTGATCAACTGTTGCTGGGATGAGACCCCCCCCTGCACAGGCCAGATGGGGCGGGGAGGCATTCAGGGAGACTTCTGCCCTCTCAGAGGGTCCCTGAGCCCCTCAGCAGGGACAAAGGGCCAGGCAGGCTGTTAGGGAGGGACGGTGCAGGGGAGGGCCACGCGCTGGGGAGCCGTTACTCACTCTCGGAGCCCCGCACGCAGACGCCGTGCACGAAGGCCAGGTGGATGTGCGAGACCTGGCTCATGAGGCTGGCCGTCTCGAAGAATGCCTGCAGAGAGAAGCGGGGAAGTCAGGTACTGGCGCGCGGTCCCTGGGATAGCCAGCTACCTTGGGCCAGCTAACCGAAGCGTGGGGAAGAGGGGGTAGCTCAGCAGTTGCAGCCAGCAGGCTTGGGGTAGGGCTTTTGCTAGCAGGACCAATGTGTGGCGATTTCACCCCTCCTCCCGCAGGCTCCTATCCAGATCCAGGACTGTCTCCCCACATTCAGAGTACCCTCCTCCTCGCCCCACGGACCACCTGGGCTACGGCACCATCGGGAGGCTCCCAGGCAGGGTCCCGCACACACTGCAGAGCTCCGGCCCTGAGCTGCCAGCAGGCTGGGCTCTGCACCTCCGCGTGAGGCAGCCGGTGCCCGGCACTCCCTTCCGCCATCCCCAGGGCTCTGCTCACCAGAGCGATGTCCCGGTGGCTGGGGTCCAGCACCTTGAGCACCACGTGCATCTCGCGGCTGTTGTTGTTCTGCTCGGTGGAGAAGTACTCAGCCTCATCGTCCCCGCCAGCGCCCCCGCAAACATGCAGCACGCCCTCGTAGATGTTGGTGCGGGTGCCCTGGCCCAGGTGAGCTCTCTGCACGGGAGACAGCAATAAGGGGGTCACTTGGTGCCGCAGGGAGAACCCTGCTTGCCCCCCACCATGTCCAGAGGGAGATTGGCCCTAGGCTGAAGTTGCTGCCTTTGCTGAGCCCCTACTCCTGATGGGGTTGCTGGGCCAGGCCCGGTACCTGCTCCCCCGTCCTCCCCATTGCACCAGCTTTCAGCTTCCCTTGCGCATTGATTCTCCTCCAGGACACCGACCCGTCTCCCTGGAGCCTCCCCCCGAGCACTTGTCAGGGAGGCCAACCTGGGTGATCTCATTTTTCCGGATCTGGTGGAAGCTGAGCTGGGTCAGGTTCAGGATCTGCCGGGTGCTGTCCTTCACCTTCCGGGCGATGATCAGATCTGAAATCTCTGTGTGGAGAGGCCCACAGGAAGAGGAGGTCAGAGACCCCATCAGCCTTGACACAAGCCATTTCGGAGACTCTGCTCTGGCTCTCTGCACATGGGAGCTCTGGGCTGGGGCAGAGCCCCGGCTGCTGCCAAAGGCTCCTGGGGAGAATCTCATTCCCCAAGGGCTTGGGACGGGGGTCGTACCTCCCGGCTTCGGCGGGCAGCACCTCCTCACAGCAAAGCTCTCTTCTCCCGACTTGAGCGTGCAGCCTTTGAGAACGTCCATCAGCTCCCGCACGGTGGAGAACTCCCGCTCCCAGCCCTCCAGCACGAAGGAGACGCCTCTCTTTTGGATCCGGAACTGCCTATACGTGGGGGTGGTCTGCGTCCCGGAGCCCTGGGGCAGGGGGAGGAAGGGGAAGAGAGACTGTTGTGACAGGGCAACCCAACGTCCATGGCTCCAGGAACCCCTGCTCAGCACGCTCATGCCCCATCGACGGTCTTACGCCTGAGCACGCGGACCCTGCTGTCACCCACCCATGCCACGAAAACCCATCAGTGGGCAGCAGGGGCCTGCAGCTTCTCCCTAGTCACTTGCTGGTTCAGAGTGCCGTGCTCCAGCAGGGTCTGGGGTCAGGCCCCTGCGCTTGGCTAACCAGCGTCTCACTACCACGGGCTGCCTAGATTTCATTGCATTCCTTCCAGCTCCTCTCTCCAAGCAGTCAGCCCAGCAGCATCTCTCCCATGTGAGCTGCAGCCAGCTGGCCACACCCCAGGCTCACCAAGGAGACTGCAGCAGGGTTCCGGGCAGTGCTGCCATTTCAGACAGTGGCCGGGCAAGGTCTCTGCCTCTCAGTTAAGCCTGTCTGCTGCCACTGCCCTACGCTGGCCGTTCCAGCACGCCCAAGACTGGGAAGGAAATTGTTGCTCGGCTCCAGCATTTCCTGCAGTAACTGGGTCGGCTCAGGAGAACGCACTCACTCTTACTGCAAGTGAGACGCCAGGGCAGCCCCTACGTTCCCGTCCGGATACACGGCACGCCCAGATTCTGCACCAGCTGCAGCCTTCCTCCCAAGGCTCCTTCTGGCACCGGCCGCCCCCAGGCTCCCTGTGTCTGCTGGCATCGTGGCCTGCGTTCCCCAGGGCGATCATGTGGAGGGTTGCGCTAGGGACCTGCCATGCAAGGCTTGGAGGTGCCAGGGAAAGGGAGTGTGCAGGGCACATGCCCAAGCAGCCCTGCGTTCATGGCAGCTGCATGCTGGGACACGCGTGTACTTGAGCGAGACTGATGAGACTTTCAGACAAGATGCCGTCTGCTGCGCCTGTTTGGGCCCCTCGGGGTCCTGGGAAAATCCCTTGGCTCACCCCAGTGTCTTTGCTCTAAGTCTCCCTTTGCCCCACTCTTGTGTTCTGTGTCCATTAGTCGCCACACTTTCCACGCCAGAGGTGGCTGCACATATTTTTGGCATGCCTGGAGCTGCCCGGATCAGACACAGGTTTGCCCAACCCCTCCAAACGCAGGGGGAGCAGTAAAAACCAGCCAGAGCGAGACCGGCTCTGCTGCGTGCCACGCCAACGCGTGGACTCCACATTCAGCGCTGGGTCTGCAGACTGCGCCCAACTGGAGCACATCACTCCCAAACCCCTGTTGCACCCAGAGCCACTGGCTGGCTCCCGGCCCAGACGCGGTTCAAGACAAGTGGGTCTCATGAGCAGAAAACTAGGTCTCCGACATGCAGTTGGCAGGGCGTCCCAGGAACGAGACCAAGTCTCTGGGTGGGAGACAGGGCTGGGCCGGGACTGGACTGGAGAACAAACTTCTCCAGGGAACCAAGTGTGACGAAGCGGGACTGTTCTTAATGTTTCCTCTGAATACTGTAGGGGTGCCTCAGTTTCCCCTAGGCAGTTCTTAAGTATCTAGGGGGTGGGATAAGGGTGTATGGTCGTTGCAGAGCCCTAGAGGGCAGGTGTGTGCAGGGGTCTGGACACAGAGAATGGCCGACACCCTGTTTCCTGGCCACTGATGGCCTGGGCCCGTCCCCCCTGCAAGGTGAGAGCTAAAGGGTTGGAGAACAAAGGAATCCGGTGACCTCCTGGCTCGGGGAAAGGGACAAAGCCCAGAGGAGGAGGGGCTGGAGAGAGTTTCAGTTTGGGGGCTGGCTGGGGACATGGAGCGAAGGGCAGATGGGGTTGTCTGGCTCACTGCCCCCCAAAATGGACCCGGCTGAGGGGTCCTGTTCTCTGCACCTACAAGCTCTGTGTTAGACCATGTTCCTGTCATCTAATAAACCTTCTGTTTTACTGGCTGGCTGAGAGTCCCGTCTGACTGCGGAGTTGGGGGGCAGGACCCTCTGGCTTCCCCAGGACCCCACCTGGGCGGACTCACTGTGGGAAGCGCACGGAGGGGCAGAGGAGGCTGAATGCTCCGAGGTCAGACCCAGGAAGGTGGAGCCGGGTGAGCTGTGTGTCCTGCAGACAGGCTGCTCCCAGAGAGGAGACTCCCCAGAGTCCTGCCTGGCTTCGTAGGGAGCAGTTCCAGAGCATCGCCCGGGGACGCCATGACACCAAGGACCATCCCAACCCTCCCTCGACACCACTCCAAGTGCCAGGGCACTGCTCTAACCTGCCTCCTCCCCCCGCCAGCAAACCCTACCAAAACAAGACACTCCTCCGCCCGCACAGTCCTCCCTCTGCAGAGGATGAGTGCGCCACCCACACGTGCTGGCAGGAGCTCTGAGCACAGCGCAAGAATGTACAGCCAATGCAGCAGCGGTCACGCGCACGGGGCCTTTGCTCATTCGAGTCCATCTCGGATGGATGTTGCTCACCCCACGCCTGCCTTACCTGGCCAGGGTCCCTCTTCACCACCGACAGGATCAGCCTGTTGAAGTTGAGGACGCTCCAGCGGATGATGTACAGACCATCCTGCTCCTCCCGCTTCAGCTTGGCGAAGACGAACTCCTCCCTGGGGGCGGGAAAGGCGTCAGACAGGCCCAGGCCCTGCAGAGCCCCCAGGTCTCCCGCTCGGCAGCACGCGCCACTTACTGCATTGGCCCATGGATGCCATTCAGGACGCTCATCACCAGCCGTGGCGGGGCCACCTCATGGCACAGGTAGTGGCTGGAGTCGGCCGTGAGCCTGAAGTAGCCATCCACCAGCGACACCAGGGACAGGGCCGTTTCGTATGACGGGAGAACCAGCTCCTGGGGAGGGGGGGGGAGGGGGGAGAACAGCCACAGGGTGTCACCACTGGCTGGCTGAGAGGCTGCCCAGGCCTCATCCCCCCCTTCACCGTCCAAGCTCCGCTTTCTGAGCCAGCCAGTGGTTCAAGGATCAAGCCCTGAGCACTCAACACATGGGCTGGAACTCCCCCCGCTGGGCAGATCAGGAACAGGAACAGCAACACCTGTGGAATCCTGATGCACTATGGGAAAGCCCCAAGATTCTGGTATTGACCCTCACCCCCTCTGCACACAACCCACAGCTCCCTTAGGTCCCCTCCCCGGCACCCCCCATCCTGGAGATGGGCGGGAGCCAGTAGCTGTTCCTTGGTCTGCCCTCTAATGCCAGCCCCCTCCCATCTCCAACGGGCTGACCCTGCTGCCAAGGGGCAGGGGGATGGGAAAGGAGAAATACTCCCCCAACTCGCACTGTCTCGGAGCCACAGGTCTCAAGGCATGGGACAGACATTCAGTGGTAACATCCCCCAGTTACCAGGGAATAGACCCATGCAGGATTGACTTGGCCAAGCCCACACAAGGTGGAGCTGGGGATGAAACCAGGATTTCCCTGCTCTAACCACTAGACCCCACACCCCGTCCAGAGCTGGGGAGAGAACTCGGGAGTCCTGGCTCCCAGCCCCCCTGCTCTAACCCACTAGCCCCCACGGCAAGAGGAAGATAGTCCCCGCTCCAGAGACCCATCACGCAGGGAGAACCCTCACCAGGCACTTGTTGTCTTGGCGGTTGATGCTGACTTTGCAGTCCTTGAGGACAATGTGCGTGATCTCCTGGAAGTCACAGAAGCGCACCCACTTGGCCTCGCTCCTCTCCACTGGCTGACACAGCCCTTTGGGGTCCAGCTCTTTGGCCCTAGTCTTCCTCCCAAAATAACTCCGGTGGGGGTGGCTTTCTGCACCCTGCGGAAGATAGAAAGCAGGGTCACAGCTCCGGCTTTCCAGGCGGCTGGGCAGTATCCACAGAGCAGGCGAAGCGGTGGCCAGACCTGGCCTGCATTCTCCCACAGCACAAGTACAGGTGAGTGTTCCTCCAGGCTTCACGGCGTCAGCTCCCGCCAGCGAGCATCTAGCCCTTCACCCCGCCACATGCACCTCCCGCCCCACCGCTTTGTCCCACATCAGTTCTGACTTGGCCTTAGCAGGTGCCGTCCCTCCAGGTTTCAGATGCCGCACGCCCCAGGAAGCTGGGCTTGCCCCTTCTTCTTCCAGAGGCAGCCTTTTCAACTCCAGCAGCAGGCATGGCTCATGCCAGCGCTGAGGCAAGACTGAGCGTGCCATTTCCAGGGCGAACTCTCAGCACTTGCCAGGGCTAGAAACATGCTTTGCAGAGCGGAGCGAGTCCCTGGGGCTAGCAGCGCTTGTGTGGCACTGAATACACTGGCCCGATGCCACCCTCCTTCATTGGGCCAGGCTATTCTGTGCCTTCGGAGAGGGGGGGTTTCCCCAGGCGCATGCCATTAGCAGCCGCTCCCTGGCTCTTGCCTAGCACTTTTCAGCAGCGGCTCTCTCAGGAGGTCAGAACCGTCACCTATGTGAGTGCCTGCATGGTGCAGAAGAGCCTGCCCAGGGACCTGCCAGGGGAGAGGGGTACCCCTCCCCTGGCCCAGACCTGTCACGGCTGGGGCGCTCCTACCCAGGCCCGGCCCGAACACTGACCATCACCCTCATTTTACTGATGGGGAAACTGAGGCACAGAGCGGAGCCATGACTCACCCAGCAGGCCAGCAGCAGAGCCAGGAATAGAACCCAGATCTCCTGAGCCCAAGCCCTGGGCTCTATCCACTAGGCCACAGTGCCTTTGAACGAGAGGGGGTCAGCCCTAGCTAGAATAGGGCCAGCACCGCCCATTGCGACCCCCAATGCAGAGGAGCCAGTGCTATCTGCGTTGTGCCGGGCAGGTTCTTGTAGGAGCCAGCAGCCCCCCATGGCAGGGGAGCCGGGTACAAGCCTACCTCAACAGGGACAGTCCGCCACTGAATGCCGTCCGTGCCAGTGACCAAGACTTCGTGGGTGGCGGGCCTGTCCCTGGGAGATGACACGCAGCCACCCTCCAGCTGCGTGTGCCCTCCATTGACATAGAGCAGCACCTTCTCGCCCTCAGAGGCCGTCTCCAAGGAAAGGACCGGGAAGAGCTCGCTCCCAAAGCGGGGGGCCAGGTTCTCCAAGGTGGCCAGGTACTTGTACATGACGTCCTGCTCCGTCAGCTTCCCAGCACTGACCGTGTGCCGCTGGAAGCGCTGCACGAACTTCCTGAAGACATTCCTCATGCGGAACCTGGTCAGGTAGTTGTTCTGCTGGATCTGCCGGCAGAAGGAGCGCGGGATGCAACCCTTGAAGCTGCGAGAGAGAGGGGGGAAGGTTAGCACAGCAGGGGCATCACACAGGAGGGAGAGCAAATGGCAAATCAGAGCATGCAGAAAGGAAGCTGCAGTCACGCAACGCTGTTCCACCATGAACCCTAGTACCCGTCGCAGTGCGATGCGTCTTAGGCCCTACCGCCCCCTGGATCGCAGGGGGCCTGCTGGATGAGGGCACAGCCTTTGCACTGTCAAGGAGAAGCAGTGCAATGTGAAAGTGTGCTCTGGGGTCAACTCAATTCCAACACCGGCTGCCAGGGCGAGTACCATGATGGGCTCCAGAAACAACCTCCACGAAAGCCATGTTATTTTCAGCACTGGCGTGAGGCAAGCTCCACCCCAGAAGAGGCTGCCATTCAGTGGCCACACACCAGCTGCACTGCAGGGCCTGGGAAGGAGGTGGACAGCACAGTCCCAATGCCCATCCACCCCGCAAATCACCTGGTTTTTTTGGCCACTTCTTCGAGAGAGATGCCTCGTTTGAGAGCCATGTGAGAGAGGTGAAGGACAGCCATGCCTAAGCTCTCGTTCTTAAACCGGTGGATCTCCTGTTCGCTCTGAAGGTCTTTCAGAGACACAACGTCATTAATGAACTCATATTTCCCCTGCAAAGGGAACCAAAATAAAAAAAAAAAAAAAAAAAAAGTGTTATACAAAGAGAAAAGAGGACGCAAAGCATCCACTCAGATTTAGCTGTCTTCCTTCTCAGCCTCACAGGGGGAGCCCTTTGATCAGCTCTTACGGCCTGTAGCATATTTGGAATATCTTTAAATCAAATGAGGCAAAACCTTAAAGACTCTCTTCTGTGTTGGAAGGGCTGCAGACCCTCCTGCTTCAGGGCAGGCGCCCTGACCTCAAGTTATCAGGGCTCAGGAGGAAATTTCCCTCAGGGGCAGGATATTCCGCACCTTCCTCTGAGGCAGCTGGTGCGGCACCTGTCGGAGACAGGATACCAGACTAGAGGGACATGGGCCCCTGCTCTGATCCAGCTTGGAGGCCAGGTGGCCTCCTACCACTGAATTCGGAAATGCATGCCCAGCAGATCGGAGCGCCGGCTCGGGTGACGGGGAAGCTGAGAAAACATTGTGTCAGCACACTTGGGAAGCCGTGCCCAAGTCCCCGCTGCGGCAGGTGGCAGATCCTTGTCTGTTCCATTCTGCACAGGTTCTCGTCCTGCACTCGGCACGGTCATAGCCGAGCATCAGCGGCGTCCAGCGAGAAGCGCTGGTGAAAGTGGCCCTCATCCCTCGGGAGTCAAGGGTCTCTAGCTAACCCTCTGGGCTGCCAGCCCTTCTCAGAGGCGAACGTCCCAGTCACGGCACCGGGGTTTCCGGTTCGCGTAGAGCGGCGTCCACACCTGCTCAAAGAGATACTCGAAGGACGACTTGTCCAGAAGCGCGCCGCCCTGCAGCTTGTCCTCAGGGACGTCGCTCTGCCGGGGAACGTTGCGATAAACGGCCGGCTCTTTGTCGCTCATCCCATGCCAGTTGCGGAAGTAGTACCTGTGGGAGACAGACACGGACAAGCCTGTGAGAGGCGGGAAAGGCCACAGCACCACTGAGCCCATCAGGCACCTGCTGGAATCAACGCAGAGCCAGTGGTTCAGCAGCTGCCAGACCCCGGCTACAAAATCCTCCCTCTTCTCCTTCTGGCACTCCTGTCCGAGTCAGTCCCCGCAAAGCTGCCCCGAGCAGCAGGCAGGAGCCTGGTCTCCACAGCAGCAGCAGCATGGAAAGCCACAGCTGTGAGGCTCAGCTCTGACGGTCATGCAGCCAGCTTTTCACTAGTGCATCTCCAAGGGAGGCCAGTATCATTACTACCGTTTACAACTGGGGAAACTGAGGCACATAAAGGTGGAGTGACTTGCCCAAGGTCACCCAGCAGGTCAGTGGCAGAGCTGGGAATAGAACCCAGGTCTCCTGGGTCCCAGTCCAGTGCTCTCTCCACTAAACCACACTGCCATCCCTCTGGGACTGGCAATACAGCCAAGCAGACCTACACCCTGCTAGAGTTAAGGGCCAGCTCCACAGCTGGTACAAACTAGTACAGTTTCAGGGGTTTATACCAGCAAGGACCTGACTCCACCAGCCTCCCCACTGCTGCAGGGAGAGCGTAGAAAGGAACACGGACCCTCCAGGCGCAGCTTGGCGCAGCCTAGCCAGGCAAGTGCTTTCCTGGTCGGGGCTGAGGTCTTCGCCCCTTGTACTGGTACCCCACAGCTGCTGCCCGAGCCGCGGCACACTACCGGCCGCTCCGTACAGATGAACGAGGGCTGGGGCTTGGCCAGAGAAACGCCTGCCCATGCTCCAGCGAGGAAGGGCACGAGCCAGCGCTCGCCCAAGGTGCCGGCGGTTTAAATCTGGCAGACAGCGCCCATGCCAATGCAGTGAGCTGGGGACCAAAAGCCTCTATTACAGCAGAGATTCAGCCAGAGCAACAGCAGGGCGAGCGTCCCGGGACGTTTTCCCCAATTCTGCCAGCAAGGCCCCGCCGGAGGAGTTCAGACCTCAAGGCCCATTCAGCAGGGACAAGACAGACTCGGGCTGCAAGCGAGGGGGGCAGTGCTGCACTGGCCACGGGGACCAAGACCCCATCCAGGCCACTGAACAGGAATGGCTCTCCGCACATCACAGCCCTGCACCCTCTTTGCCCATCACCCCGATCCAGGGACCCTCCCACACACATCTCCAGCTTGTGTTTCCAGGGGCCAGGTCTTATGGCCAGGGAAACGCGCCAGACTACACACCCCTCTGGGGTGCAGCTGGCTTCTTCCAAAGGAATGCAGTTCACCTGCCTTGTGCTCACTTGGCTGAGAGTGCCCTCTTCTTTCAGTGCCCAGCTCCACATTCACCCAACTCAAATTGTTCTCAGGGCGCAGAGAGGAGACGGGGTTACAAAGGCTCCTGGGATCAGAGGTCTCAGCCAGAGCAGAGATACCTCAGAGCAAAGGACTTTTGGGTTCTACGCCCAGTGCTGCCACTGATTCAGTCACCTTGGGGCAGGCTATGCTGCTCCTCTGGGCCTCAGTTTCCCTGCCTATAAAGTGGCAAGAACATGGCTCTCCATCGAGCACTTCAAAACAAGAGTGCTTCCCAGGGCAAGCCTGCTCCAGTGGGCACTGCAGCACCAGAGCTGCTGAGGACAGGAGTCACTTATGTGCAGCACAAGTGGTCCCCGAGCCCGTCAAGCAGAAATCAACACAGGGATGCTCAGCAGCAAGACTTGCACGGACAGCAAGGCTCCTGAGCCGTTAAACAGCAACGGAATCAAACGACGACCAGTGCGGCAAGCAAGCTACTGTCACAGGCCCTAAGCCTGCCAAAGGCCTCTCCGGACACAGGTGTGGGTAGAATCAGGGGCTCCTCGAAGCAGAGAGTGCACCGTCTCACATGGACTGTCCAGCATCTCGCACAGCAAAGCTCTGATCCAAGCTGGATGAGTTAGGAGAGGGAAGCTTGCAGCACGGCCGCTTGCATCCCGGAGGCCCCTCATGCTGGCTGCTGAAGACACAGCAACAGTGCCTGCCCCAGAATGCTCACGGTCTGAAAGGCAAGAGGCAGCGGCCGGGGAGGGAGGAGGTAACAGCAACAAAGGCACATTGTACAAAGACTGGCAGGCCACACAATTGGTAGCCAGAGCACTGTCAGCTCACCAGCTGTCTTGCGTCTGCACTGTGGCTAGAGGCCTCCAGTCTCCCTGCTCGGCACCTCTCCCCAGCACCCTGCTCCGCTATTAAAGACCACCTCTGACGTGTTGCTCTTTGGACTGTATCCAGAGGGGCTAGCCTGGAGCAGGACCCTGCTGTGCTGGGCCCCTTACACCCATATGGGAGAGTCGCTATGGAAATGGGGCAGAGGCACAAACTGCAGCCAAAGCGAGTTTGTTGTTTCCACTGCCCGCGTCCTCCCCAGAACCCTCAAAGCCACAGCTCAGTCTGCGGTAGCGAGCACGAAGGTATTCTGACGCTCACACACACAGAGACGCAATTTCCTGCAGTCGCGCTAAGCCACCCATCCGGACTGAGGACAGAGCAGCAACAGAGCTGCACCTAGCTGAGCCTCGGAGGGGAAGGAAACAGAGCGCGGCTGCCGGGAGATCGTAGCATCCAACGTGAGCCATTTGTAATCTCGGGGCTGGATGGGGCCGTTGCATCAGGCTGTCCGTTGTCAATGTGACCTATGCTCTGTCCAACCCAAGGGCTCAGCTGCCAGAAACCTATGCTCTATCTGCACTCAGACTGCATGTGTCCTCACCTTTGGTACAGAGATTGTGGCCTATAGCGATGTTGTTTAGAGCAACACAAAAACTACATATCCCAGCATGCTTTGTCCCACCTTGAGCTGAGCAGCTAAGCATGCTGGGATATGTGGTCTGTGCTGAAGAGGAGGTTGGCAACAGGCTGCTTCTTAGAAGCCCAAGATCCACACTCCAGTACCATGGCAATGCACACGGCCAAAGCCCTCCCACACAGACCCTTTGGCCACTGCTGATTTACAGGCCGGCAGCGCAGTGCCAGTCAGATGGTCTCTGACTGGTCAGCGCAGTCCTCAGCACCTGCATACCGGACAGTGACATCCGAGAGGCCTACAAGCAAACATTCCACTTTCTAATGAGCAGCGCACTGGTGCCAAGGAGGAAAGTTGCCAGAGGGGAGCTTCATAGGACCTAATAAAATCCCAGACCTGTAATCACTGGTCACTTTTGCCTTTATTAGGACTCAGACGCTATAAAAATGAGCCTGAAAGCCCTGCTGATCCGATGGTGACTGCATTCTAGGAGGATATGCTGGGTCACGCAGCCGGGTTCCCACGATATGTAAGAGCCTCACCGAGAGGATATCAATAAGCAGAGCCCACACACTACTCTCTTCATACCTGGAGACCTAGATCAACACGCTGCCCCCCAGTCACAGGTAGAATGAGTTCAGTGGGTCTTAGCCTATTTCCCTTTGGGCCTTTGTCCACGTCGCCAGCACCACGTAATAACGTGACTGGTAGATTCTGCTCAGGAGAAGCCCAAGTCTGGAAGAGCAGAAGCAGAGCTGACTGTGGGGAGCACAGACTTGAACAGCAGGGGATGTGGGTTGGGATTGAGGGGCACAAAGAACCTTGTGAACAGATTTCCACTGCACCGTCCAGCTCTCAGCCATGCAGTCAGCCCAAGTGAGACCCAGAAAGGCGTGCACAGCCTCTCACCTCCCCAGAGATGCTGCCCAGTCGCTATTTGACCTGACGCCAACCTTCATCCAGGTTTCTTAATTGCTTCTGTTGCCTCCCTTCCCAGGTAACCAGGCAAACCACCAAGGGATGCCTCTCCCCAGCACGAGCGTTCCTATTCAAATGCCTGGCACATTACCCCATAGCATCTGGCTAAGGGGCCCCTCACCCCTGAACTGCAGCTGGCAAAAGCAGAGTGTGTGGGGAGCCACCTGTGACCCCCCAGGGAGCAATTCTCACCTCATGCGGAAGAACAGATTCAGGTTGGTGTCTTTGCTGATTTCAAACACATGGTTGGGAGGGAGCCAGACTCTGGTCTGCACATCACAGAGCGCAAAGAGGCTGTAGCAGAGCGGCGTGATCCCTGCAGGAGACAAGAGAATTCCTGTGTGATGGCAGGGGCTCATTTCCCCTCTGCCCCTGCTTTAAACTGCATGGTTTTACAGCTGCTGCAAAGCCGTTTCTCTCATTGTCTTGTCCTGAAAGCTGTTCCCAGTTCTCTCCTCCCCATTACAGGATTTTACTGGTAACAGACTCCTTCACTGAGTGCCAACAGCAGGCATAGTGCCTGATGCTCTGAGACTCAAGATCTAGGCCCAAGTCCCACAGTGCGAGCACGGAATTAGCTTTTTCTGAGCCATGCAGACATCACGCGACAGCTCATGAATTTAAAGGTACTTATTAAAACTAGCCTGCTTTTAACAATAATCCTCATAGCTCGCTTTTAAATAGCTCTTCGGCCGCAGATCTCTAAGGGCTTTACAAAGCAGGTCAGTATCATTAACTCTGTTTTGCAGATGGGGAAACAGAAACACACGGAGGGACAGTGACTTGCCCAAGGTCACCCAGCAGCAGGCCAGTGGTGGAACCAAGATTAGAATCCAGGTCTCCTGAGTCCCAGTCCAGTGCTCTCTGCATTAGGCCACACTGCATCCTCCAGAGACATCGTCACACCTCAGGCTGGTTGCTTAGAGGCAGCCAGTTGGCCTGACAAGCCTCTCAGCAGTGTGACGGGTTTTGTGGGGTTGGGGTTTTTTTAAACTTCACCAACCAGAAAACACCACGATGGTTTGTCAGCTGGCCTCATGCAGGAGGAAAGGGGGTTTGCAGCAAACCCGGGGTTAACAGGCACTTCAGCCGCTCCCTCCTCCTCCCAGTGGACAGGGAAATACCCCTGCACAGACAGTCAGGGCAGCCCTGGCAGCTCGGCTCTGACGCGGCCTAAGAACCAGGCCCCGATGACATCTCCGGCTCCTGCGGCTCACCAGGGAAAGTCCCCGGAGAGTGGCAGACTGTTTATCGTGCGTGGATGCCAACAAGTCAGAGGCCATGTCACCACACTCGAGCTAGTCATGCTCCGTACCTCAGCCTTCCAGTAAAGCCCGACAGCCAGAGCACAGGGGAAGAGGGAGATTCATCCCAATGCCTAGGAATGCCAGAGACACAGGAGGCTAGAGCCCATGGTCCTGATTAGTAAGAGCTACAGCTCTAATGGACACAGAGCTTCTACGGGCAACGTGAACTCTCAACACATAGCCAGGGGGACTCGGTGGTGACAGGGGAAGGTAGGAATTAGAGCCATTTGCCTCTGGTCAGGGACTGGCTGGCTCAGAGCGGGGAGGTGGTCAGGGGATGGAGTAACAGCCCTTTCAGCTCTACAGCACCAGCCCATGGCTGGTATCGTCCTAATGACGTGACTCATAATCCCCAGTGGACAGAACAACATCATCGCAGACAGCACTGGCCAGCGAGAGCTCTGGGTGACACAGAGAACAAGGTTCCTTGCATGCGCAGTGGGCACATGCAGAGGGTGCCAGGGCCGGGCTGGCCGTGCGGCTGCCTTCATAGACAGGGCAGAGGGTGGCTTGCGGAGTGGCTGCACACTAGCAACCCGGGGTCACACGAGTTCACAGTTCTTGGTATCTCAGGAGGACACTAGCCCCAACCGCCCCTTGAAGCTAAAGGAAAGAACCAGCTTTGGATCATACCCCACGGGGCAGCAACAGACAGGGCGGGCAGGAAGAAAACGTTATAACGACACTGGCTCTGCCGTAACACCTGTGCTGCTCGCTGGCCCAGCGGGCTACCAGCATCATAGGGAAGCAGAGGAATCCTTTGTCTTTGAGTCTGAAGCGAGGGATCAGCCCACACGACCTCTCACCCCAATGCAGCGCTGGGCAGTGACCCTCCCTGGCAGGCCCAGCAGCGTTAAGCCGAAGCGATTGCTCAGAGCCCTGTCTTTGGGGCAGGGGCAGGCTCACGTAGGCTTGTCTGGAGAGGCGGTAGCCCAGGGACACTCCAGGCTGCCAGCGCTCACCGATTTTCTGGGCAATGTTGATGCAGATCTCCTCTGCGCTCAGCACCCCCTGCGTGTAGGTCTGGCACCGCTCCTCCTCCTCGCCGTTCCAGTGCAGGTACACCTTCAGGCCCCCGCCCACCGAGAAGCAGCAGCCCTCCACGTCTGACTCACTGTGCTTCACCGCACACTGGCACAGAGACATCTCGCCGATGCCTGAGAGGAGAGAGGGAAGCGTTTGTAAGAAAAGGGTGGGGCGATCTCTGGTAGGACTCAGGGCAGTGTTGCAAGTGTCTCTGGGCCTGACGGCATCAAAGGAACGCTGCTGCTCCGGCTCACTGGTGAGACGTGTGGCTGCGGGTGCTTGTGTCCCAGATTCCTTCTGGGTCCAGTCAGGGACCAGCCAGCTGGAAGAAGCCTGCCATGGCTGCATTCAGTAGGGGAGGGCCCCTAGGAGGGCCCCAGAAAGGCAGCAAGTCCAGCAGGGAGAAGAAAGAAGAACTAGCCGTCCAGTGAGGAGTGAAGCTTCAATGCAGAACCACAAATGCCCTGGGCCAGCTCCCAATATTTGCCTCTGAGTGATGGGGTCCCTACGACACCCCCTCCCCCAGGGTGGAGGAACACCAGCCCCCCAAAGCACAGTCACCCTCCCATAAGCCTTACAACAACAGGGACATACTCTGGCCCTCACTCCACCACCCAATTACTCTGCAATAGCTGAGCTTGCCGCACCCCACCTAAACGACTGGGGGAAGCAAGGGGTCAGCGCCCGGAACCCTGAAAGCAAAGATGTCCTCCCCCCGCTCCCCACCTGCCCCTCACTCTCTGGTGGGGCTCTCTCTCATGAGTGATGAGACAGTGGGCCAGGCTCCACCGCTCTGCTCACACAACAAAGGATCCATCAGCCTTGCAGGTAGGGCCCCCCACAACCCCAGCAGACAAAACACAGCTGGATCCAAGTCTAACAGCACTTTGCCCAGCAGAACACACACGTGACCCAGCGTAAGATACAGACCAAAGACATTTCTCGACTGAGCCAAGAGAGGGAAGGACTTAGATAAGGGGGTGCAGCAAGTCAGTGACAGAAATGGGAACAGAACCCAGGAATCCTGGCTCCCAGCCCTCCCCCCCATTCTAACCCACTAGATCCCAGTCCCCTCCCAGAGTTGGGGAGAACCCAGGAGTCCCAACTCCCTTCTCTCCTGTTCTAATCACAAGACAACACTCTAAGCCAGGGCCCAGTTCTGCCCACAGTTACATGGGTGCTTCCCCCTAGAGAAGCCAGTGGGAGCTGTGCCTTTGTAACAAGGCAGGCCTTGGCCTCGATACCCGGCCAAACATGCAGCCAGGTGCCTTTTGCTGACTAAAGACCGATCTTAGCATACAGCTATTGTCTTCCTCTGCCAGCTCTAGACACATCGTTCAGTGGGGAACTCCCACATAGGAAACGCAGTACCCTACCATTCCCCGGTATTCATTCCCCACCAGAGCCAACGCCACAGGGCCGGAGCGGACAGAGGAGGTCCTGCCTACCATGCAGCCCGTAAGCAGACTGAAGAACTGCAGAGATAAAAATCCTGCTCCCCGGAGACACAACGGATCACACAGACGCCCAGTGCAACAGCAGCTTGCCGCAAGATTTATGGGGCTCGTCTCCAGAGTAACTCAGGAGGGGGAGAAAGGCGAACCTCTTGGGTCTGTAGTTTTGCATCTCTGGCAGGCGATACCACAATGAGCATTAAGCACGTGCGACCACAGAACAGGATATAAGCGCCGGGCTCGCTTTGACCTCAGACACGCCTGGGGAGCTCAGAAAAACGGGCTAGTCCCAGTGACAACAGAGACTGCATATGCCATGCTGCCATGGAGCCACAATAGGGCCTGGATGTGCAGAAACTAGACATCCGCACGCACACGCCCTGTGCTGGAGATGGGAGCAGACAGAGCCACACAGTAAAACACACCCCCCCATTCCAGAGTGGATTAAGCCACTCCAGAAGGCCAAACAGCCCCGCGCAGTACTGGTTCCCAGGATAAAGCCTGGCTGATCCTTTTCTGTTTGGGGAAGGAGGCGGCTGTCAGCAAAACAGCTGAAGAAAATGCAGCTGTTTAGGTTTTTAAGCAAATACACCAGAGACCTTACTAGGTGTCTGCTCCCTGTGAGTGCTCTGTGCATTTCAGTGGCTTGCCGCAGGAGCTAGATTGTGGGGGGAGGGTGGGTGTTGTGCTTGAGTGAATAGGCTTATCTCAAGCCACCACTCACTCCTGGGGGAGCTCATCAGATATGTCCATCCCCCTCATTCCCTGCATGCTACTGCATGGCTGGTTACTCCAGGGAGCAGGAAGGTTAAATTATTGCCAGGTCATGTTCCTCCTATTGACTCAGCAGAGGAACGCTGCACAGCATAGACCAGTGTCACTTTCTGGAGCGTGGGCTGCCAGGTTTGATTTATTCTTGCTGGGGAAGAGGAAAGGGGGAGAAGAGAGGATAAAACGACAGTGAGAAGCAGTTTTCTAGGGATTCCAGTTCCAGACGGGGGACCTAGTGGAGGAAAGACGGGTTCCTTTGGGTTCTGTCCTGCTGCTCAGAGGACAAAGCCTCTCAAACCTCAGTGCTTAACAGGATCCCTCAGACACATCCTCACGCTAAACCTTGGCACAGTTCCCCACCCCTGCCAATGACCAGAATGGAATCCAAAACAGACAGCTGTTCCTCCTCTCAAAAAGCCTTGCTTCCTCATTTCTATAAACCAGGCAACGTGAAGATTTGCTTCCCCCGTGTTGGCTTTGCCCCTGCATTCAGTTGGCGGGAGGGCTCAATGCCTCCAACTCTAAGGAGCTGCAGGCACTCGGCTCCAGCACCCCATGCTCCCACAGAAGCCAACAGGGCATGTGCACTGCACCTTTGAAAAATCAGAACCTTTATCAGCCCTGCAGGCAGGCTACCCGCTGGCAGCAACGGAGATGGTGGTTTTCAGCAGTCCATTATTCTGGGGAAGAGCTCAAAGGGTTTTTCCAGCTTTCAAGTTGCAACGTCAACAGTTTGACAAAGCAAAACACAGGAAAAACGTTGACAATTACAGGAGTCTGGGGTTTATTTCGTATTCATTAAGTTCCATAACAGTATGGAGGCACAGGAACTGGGGAAACCCAAACTGGTCTGCAAAGTTGCGGGTTCTTGATTTAAGGACCCTGGGGGTGTCCCAGGGTTGTGACCACACTGCCCCTCCCATATTGCTAAATAGAAGTGTGGAGGGGTCTCAGAATGGAAGCTATTGACAGCCACTGCCCTAAATGTTTTCCTTTGGCTTCCCCCATTTTCACCGGTGGCCTCTCTCCTGTCCCTTGTAACAGGGACAAGTGCTCCAAAATATTTGCTGTTCCTGGAGAGCAGGAATCCTGTTGATTCAGGCCTCCGGACCTTAGGGCAAGAGCGAAGCTGGCAAGATGTCAGAAGCACACATCGTCAATGTCTGTGGTTTATTTTCACCCACATGAAGGCCTGGGGACCTGTCACCAGAGAAAGCCCCTAGAGCAGACAGGCAAAACTGCTGTTCACAACACTTTGCAATGTGGTGAGTCCCCCCCTGCTTGCAACTGGAGTACAGCTGCACGGCTGCAAATCATGGCCTACGGCGGCTTGGTCCATCTACGCTAGAGATCTGCAGTGGTAAATCTACACCAATGGCTGCAACTGGGCATGTCTCCAGTGCAGACAGATCCTAAGCAACCATAAACTCAAGGCTCAGGGGAGAAGAACTGGACACCAACTAAAGAGCAGATCACCAAAGCCAAAGCGGAGGCACTTCCCTTCTTCATAGCAGCACCCCTTCAGGAACCTAGACTTTGTCTACATACACAAATTGCGCTGGTTTACCTTAAACTGTTTTTGAAACCAATTTAGTTAAGCCAGTGCCTACCAGTGTGGACATTCTTATTTTGGTTTAAGAGTGGCTCATCTGGGCTTGAGTTAAACAGATTCCTGATGGACTTAAGATAAATCAAAATGAGCCCAGCTTAAACCAACAGATCAGTGTCCATTCAGCCTTTTGCACCGATTTAATCAATTGGTTAAAACCAGTTGAAGTCAAACAAACGCAGTTGGGGCAGGCAGGCGAGCCTCTATTCACCAAACCTTCACTCTGGCTTCGACCTAACCACCCCTAAGAGATCACCTCTGCAGCACCACCCTGCCAAAGGAAGGCCAAAGCCTCACCTGGTGTAAACAGACACAGCCGCTCCACTGTCTTCATAGAATCATAGAATATCAGGGTTGGAAGGGACCCCAGAAGGTCATCTAGTCCAACCCCCTGCTCGAAGCAGGACCAATTCCCAGTTAAATCATCCCAGCCAGGGCTTTGTCAAGCCTGACCTTAAAAACCTCTAAGGAAGGAGATTCTACCACCTCCCTAGGTAATGCATTCCAGTGTTTCACCACCCTCTTAGTGAAAAAGCTTTTCCTAATATCCAATCTAAACCTCCCCCACTGCAACTTGAGACCATTACTCCTCGTTCTGTTATCTGCTACCCTTGAGAACAGTCTAGAGCCATCCTCTTTGGAACCCCCTTTCAGGTAGTTGAAAGCAGCTATCAAATCCCCCCTCATTCTTCTCTTCTGCAGGCTAAACAATCCTAGCTCCCTCAGCCTCTCCTCATAACTCATGTGTTCCAGACCCCTAATCATTTTTGTTGCCCTTCGCTGGACTCTCTCCAATTTATCCACATCCTTCTTGAAGTGTGGGGCCCAAAACTGGACACAGTACTCCAGATGAGGCCTCACCAATGTCGAATAGAGGGGAACGATCACGTCCCTCGATCTGCTCGCTATGCCCCTACTTATACATCCCAAAATGCCATTGGCCTTCTTGGCAACAAGGGCACACTGCTGACTCATATCCAGCTTCTCGTCCACTGTCACCCCTAGGTCCTTTTCCGCAGAACTGCTGCCTAGCCATTCGGTCCCTAGTCTGTAGCTGTGCATTGGGTTCTTCCGTCCTAAGTGCAGGACCCTGCACTTATCCTTATTGAACCTCATCAGATTTCTTTTGGCCCAATCCTCCAATTTGTCTAGGTCCTTCTGTATCCTATCCCTCCCCTCCAGCGTATCTACCACTCCTCCCAGTTTAGTATCATCCGCAAATTTGCTGAGAGTGCAATCCACACCATCCTCCAGATCATTTATGAAGATATTGAACAAAACCGGCCCCAGGACCGACCCTTGGGGCACTCCACTTGATACCGGCTGCCAACTAGACAGGGAGCCATTGATCACTACCCGTTGAGCCCGACAATCTAGCCAGCTTTCTACCCACCTTATAGTGCATTCATCCAGCCCATACTTCCTTAACTTGCTGACAAGAATACTGTGGGAGACCGTGTCAAAAGCTTTGCTAAAGTCAAGAAACAATACATCCACTGCTTTCCCTTCATCCACAGAACCAGTAATCTCATCATAAAAGGCAATTAGATTAGTCAGGCATGACCTTCCCTTGGTGAATCCATGCTGGCTGTTCCTGATCACTTTCCTCTCATGCAAGTGCTTCAGGATTGATTCTTTGAGGACCTGCTCCATGATTTTTCCAGGGACTGAGGTGAGGCTGACTGGCCTGTAGTTCCCAGGATCCTCCTTCTTCCCTTTTTTAAAGATTGGCACTACATTAGCCTTTTTCCAGTCATCCGGGACTTCCCCCGTTCGCCACGAGTTTTCAAAGATAATGGCCAATGGCTCTGCAATCACAGCCGCCAATTCCTTCAGCACTCTCGGATGCAACTCGTCCGGCCCGATGGACTTGTGCACGTCCAGCTTTTCTAAATAGTCCCTAACCACCTCTATCTCCACAGAGGGCTGGCCATCTCTTCCCCATTTTGCGATGCCCAGTGCAGCAGCCTGGGAGCTGACCTTGTTAGTGAAAACAGAGGCAAAAGTGAAGCTAGGCCCACTGACACCCGCTGAGGTTCCGGCCCCCAGCGCTTACACTTTAATCTTTATATTAATACACTTGGAACCTCCTGGACATACAATTGCCTACACCGAATAACCACAAAGTCCCTTTGGCTCTTCCCGGCGTAGGTTACAAGCGCCCATGGCTGGAAGTTGAAACTAGATAGATTTAGACTGGAAACAAGGGGCAAAGTTTTAACCACGGAGGTCATTAGCCATGGGAACAACTTACTAAGGCCTGGGATGGGTTCTCCATCATGGGCAATTTTAAAATCAAAATTGGATTTTTGCTCTAGTTCAAACGAGGAATTAATCTGGGGAAGTAACATGGCCCATGTTCTGCAGGAGGTTAGACCAGAGAGCGGGAATGGTCCCTTCCAGGCTTTGAACCAGTGAATCTGGTCTATTTTGCTCTTGCCTGTCAAGTCAGCTCAATAGATTCTCACCCCAGAAGGGGCCATTGGGACCAGCTAGTCTCACCTGAGTCTACTCTGGAGACTATCTACTCCCTGAGGCAAGGACCCACTACAAGGCCTAGAGGATCAGCCTTCTGTACTCTCCCTTGCCTTGGAAATTAGAGGAGCCCCCCCAAAGGTTAAGCCCACAAGGGCTTCAGGGCAAGGAACCGTTTGAAACTGCTGCTCATGTTCTCTGCTCGGCTAAGGAAAGAATAAAAACAAATCCAAGATGAGCCACATGCTCCCACAAGCCAAGAGCTTCACCCGGGAAAAATTAAAGGGAAGACGCACACCAGCCGGGATATCAAGAAAATCCTGCACCTCCAGGAAGGGTGGAGCGGGGGGCCCACGGTCAGACAGAGAGCATCCCAACTCAAAGAAGTCCATGGGAAAGGTGGCGTCAGAGGGCATGCTGGCAGCGCCCTGGCCCCTGGGGAGGGCAGCTGTTTTGCATTCAACAAGCAAGTCAGCTGTCGGAGGTTCACACTTCTTGTGCCCCTCCCCACTAGCACAGGAGGGGAGCTGGCATCTTCCCGCAACTGACACCCCACTGCCCCCACAACACCCCATTTCTGCTGCAGCCAGCCTGACTCCTCCTCATGCCGGACACCCCTTCTCCCAGCTTCTGCACCGCAGCCTCCTGGCCCCTCTCCCGTCCCAGAGCAGGACAGCCTCGCCAGGGCCAGAGGGGTTAGACTTGACAGAGGAAGGAGATAGACGAGGCGTTCCCATCTCCATGACTCCCCCACTCTTTCCAGCAGCAGAGCCACCTACGCCCGCTTTCCCCCACTCCCTGACACCCCTCATCCACCTCCTGGCCCCCCCCGTACCCCTGCCGATCAGCCTTTCCTCTCTGACCCCTCATCCACCTCCTGGCATCCCCGCTTCCCGCCACCCCAGTCCTCCCACAGATCCCTGCCATCCCCATACCCTCCCCCTTCCCTACAGACAGCCCCTCTTCCCAGGGCCAGCCCCCTCCTGCCCCCCCACCACCCATGCCCCCACCCGTTACCCACCTCCCACACCCCATCCTCCCTCTTCCCAGGGCCAGCCAGCCCCCCCCCACTCCCTACCCACCTCCCATGCCCCCCCCAACTTCCCTACAGACAGCCCCTCTTCCCAGGGCCAGCCCCTGCCCAGCCCCCTCCTGCCCATACCCCCTGCCCCCCACCCCACACCCTATCCCCCCTCTTCCCAGGGCCAGCCCCCTCCTGCCCCCCACCCTCCCCGGCCCCCCTCTTCCCAGGGCCAGCACCCTCCGGCCCCCCACCCCACTGCCACCTCCCCACCCGTTACCCACCTCCCCACACCCCTCCCCTCTTGCCAGGGCCAGGGCCAGGGCCAGGGCCAGGGCCAGGGCCAGCCCCAGCCCCCCCCCCCTGCCCCCGCACCAGCCCCCTTCCCCAGGGCCCATACCCCCCTGCCCCCCACCCCCACACCCTATCCCCAGGGCCAGCCACCCTCCGGCCCCCCACCCCACTGCCACCTCCCCACACCCCTCCCCTCTTCCCAGGGCCGGCCAGCCTCCCCCACATCCCACGGCCCCCCCCGCCCAGCCCCCACACTCCCCCCCCGCCCCCACCTACCCCCGCTGCGGGTCGCGCTCCCCGCCCCAGGCGGCCCGAGCCCGGCCGCCGCGCCAGCGCCTTCTGCTCAGCTCAGCACCGCCGTGAGGCCGCCTCCCATTGGGCCCATGAGCCGCCCGCTCCCATTGGCCGCTCCCACGTCCGGCCTTCCCATTGGCGGCGCCCGCCCCAGCGGCCCGGGCCGGGCGGGGCGGGAGCAACGGGCGCGCCCCGCCCACAAGGGGCGCGGGGCCGACGCTCATTGGCGGCCGCAGCCGGCCCCGCCCCCGGCCACAGCTGGAGGGGGCGGGCGCCGCTGGCTGGCCGCCGGGCGGGGCCCCTGGCTGGAGCGGGGTCCCTGGCGTGGGCGGGGCCCGGGCTGCCCGCTGCAGAGGTTCCAGTGACCATGACACCCGCTGACCCATGCCCAGGCCCTTAGGAAAGGGCCCCCCCCCCCCCGCACTTTACAAACCTCCCCGGTCAGCAAACCCATCCGCAGGGGCCGTCCAGCGTCCCCATTTTACAGGCTGGAACGCCGAGGCACCTTAGAGACCAAGGCATTCATGGGGGCATAAGCTTCCGGGGGCTACAGCCCGCTGCATCGGATGCAGGGAGTGAAAAATACCGTGAGCAGCGGATGTATTATAGCACCTGAAAAGATGGGCGTTGCCTTACCAGGTGGGGGGGGGGTCAGTGCTAAGGAGCCAATTCAGTTAAGGTGGAAGTGGCCTAGCCTCCACAGTAGACAAGAAGGGGTGAATTACTTTTGTAGTGCTAACGAGGCCAATGCAATCCAGGTGGCTCATTTCCAACCCTTGACAAGAAGGTGTGAGTAGCAGCAGGGGGAAAATTACTTTTTGTAGTGACCCATCCACTCCCAGTCTTTATTCAGGCCTAATTTGATGGTGTCCAGTTTGCAAATTAATCCCAGTTCTGCAGTTTCTCGGAGAAAGTAGAAAGGAGTTTATGCCCGGCCTGCCCCAGTCCATTACCATATTGACAATAGAGAGACTATAGCAGTGCAAACAACCACTTGGGCCCACAGACCGAACGAGAGAAGACACTTTGTTCTGACTCAGTGAGTTAGTGCAACCAGAGATCAGCTGTTAAGGTGCAGCTATCATTTCTAGGGTCAGGGTTTCAAGCACTCTAGATGGGTGGCTCCCCCCTGATACTTGACATTAAGAGGTGGTGGATTTTATTAATTTGCCCACAATGAAGCTCTGCTTAGATGTGAACCCAACTATTATACACAGTAGCAGGAAAGTTCAGTCCGAGCAAGAGAAGTGTAAATGTCTCAGCTCTCAGAACTCCCACCAAGCTTCGGACGAAGGACATCTGTTAGCAGCCACTCGTTCCTCAGATCTTGGCTGTCAGCAGCTCCACCTGCAGCTGGACTATCCGACAGCAACTGCTCATGGTTCATCAGCAAGGCCTGCAGAGGCCGAGCCTCAGCAGAGGCAGGATGTTAGAACTACGAGTATTGCAGTTTGGCTAAGACAGCAATGTTCTTCCTTTTCTCCCCGGCCTCCACAGTAGCAGCTGAATACAGGGTTATTCATCCCTTCCTGCACTGAAGGGGTGCATAATTTAAGTGATGGAGACCAAAGTAACTCGGACTTAGACCCCACCAACCCACGTGCCCATCCTGGCCAGAGGGACAGTTCACTGACAGGCTGGAACAAGCAGCAAATAAATTCCTTTATGCTTTCTTCCATACCATCCCTCCTACGCAGGACGGGTTCTCGCAGAACAACCTCAGACTAGGTCCTTGGCCTCCCTCACAGCCCTCCTTAAGAG